CTACGTAAAATATGAAGAAATAAATTATTTTTGAAAATGAACAGGTCGAAGGAGCATGGGGAGTGGTCAACCACACACACGGCCAGGTTAAACGATTTGTTCACTACTCCCAAACTGAAGAAAATTTCCATTGTATATTTAAACAACAATGGTTAGAGGAGCCTGTTATTTCAGGTGATTGCCTCTACAGAAGCTACAAGCAATAAGACCAATAAAATTTGCTGGCGTCACTGAAAGCCTGACACGTTGAGGTTGCTCCACAATCGAGAGGAACGTGAATCCCGAAAGAACAGTACGCCTCTGGTAGTTAGGTCATAAACCTAATTTTAGAACAGAACAAAGTGAGAATTGCCGAACTAAAATAGAACCCTTTTGGTGCCAGTGGAAGTTACCTGACAGTTTTGACACGTCAACTTCATACTTTCTTTGTAATTTTGTGTAGGAAATGAAATAGAATTCAATTCAGTCTGAACACAGTTTCGAATAAAAGCGTAAAACAGTGCTGTTTTAATGGTATCTTGGTGATGACATAAATGAAAATTTGAGTATACAAGAAGTATTTTTCAGATCATGTTTCGCTTTCAGAACCTGCAAATTCACACGGTTTATCGCACTGCTTAAGTGTTTACACAGTTTCTGCTTTCTACGAAACTTTCTCGATCAAGTCAATGTTCATTACGACAAAGTTTAGGAAATGGGAATATCCTCGTCATATCTTTGCTCACTAATATTTCCTAACACTACCTCAAATAATAAGGTCTCTTGCTTCTATATTGAATTTAGATCAAAAGCTATCTGCTTTCCACTGTCTTATCAAGTTTTTCTAAAATCTTCAGTTTTGTTGAGAGAAAAAATTGCGATCTTATTATTATTTTATATTAATGAAACTGTCGTCTTTTCAAGGTTCGTGAACCAAACCCTAAATACGGACATCGCAACACGTCTATTGTCACGACAGAGTAACCAACTTTTTAAACAGCTTTTCTCTACAGGTTTTTCAAACAAACTGTCTAGAAAACAAGTTGCTGTATTCAAACTAGGATCGATTTGAACAAAACACCAGAAATACAAAACAAACAATCTTTTATAAAACGAATAACTTGCAGAGAAAAAGTCATTCTTTATTGATCACCAGCTCAGAAAAGCAGTGCCATACAAGATTGAAAGAAGATAGTTCAAGAAGACAGAAGAAATTAAGTATGTTCATCGATAACTGTGAAATCTGTAACACCTATAGACCGTTGTAATTTTTCATTTATTAATAGATTGTGCGGTAGCCATCTTTGACCAAAATGACCTTTCTATGTTTTGATGATTTTGTCAGCATCTTTGGCAAGAGCTGAGAAAATTGTTAGAGGTGTTACTACACAAACTGGGCACAGTATCGAACAAGTCCAATGGAATACTTTCCAGAAAATATCGATGTTTCATTATGTACCCATATTATTTATGCTTTTGCAAAGATTGAAAACCATGAATTGAAAAGTATTGAATGGAACGACGATAAAATGTTTAAGAAATTCAGAGAAATTCAACAGGTGAGTTACAGTACACTAAAGGATGGCATGTGGGTAATGAACGAGGTTAGAGAACAATGTCTTCTAAATCTAATTGCTAGAATTCAAGGATAAACCAGAGACTGTCACTGAAGCCATATTCACTTAAATATTTAACCTTCCTTTTAAACGAAACAGGCTTCAATATATAGTTTGGCTATGAAATCTAGTCTTGTGAACTAAACCCAAAATCAGAACGAGTTTCAAGAAGAAAGATTGGTCACTTGTGGACTAAAAAACCCGCAAAAAATCTAGAACTATTTGCAACGATCCACCTGACAACTGTGACAAACAGTGTTAACTACCAGTTTTCAATTGTGTTCTTTGCTTTAGGGCAGACGGGGCACGAAAATCAAAAGCCGCAGATATGATTTGCCCTTCGCAAATTTTCGCATCAACACTAAATCATGCTAGTTGTTTTATATTTGTAGGCCTATCCATCACTTAAGTTATTGTTGGCAGTTGGAGGCTGGAACCACGAGGCAGGTGCCATAAGCAAATTTTCCAACATGGTAAGTACACCAGAAACAAGACTGATATTTATCGAGTCTGCAATTAAATTCCTTCTGACGAATTGGCTTCGATGGTCTTGACTTGGATTGGGAATACCCAGCGCATAGAGGTAATTCTCCGCCTGAAGATAGAGAGAGGTTCAGCTTACTAGTCGAAGAGCTCGTGGAAGCGTTCGCACAGGAATCGGAACTCTCCGGAAACGACCGACTATACCTTACAGCTGCAGTGGCAGCCGCCCCTACTGAAAAAGCACTAAGGCATACGAAGTGGCACGAATCAGCAAGAGCTTGGATTGATCAATCTGATGACGTATGATTTGCATGGTAGTTGGGAGAAAATTACTGGACACCACACAGCAATGACAGGTATTGGAACATAATTCTAAGTTCTCATCATATTTTAAAATGAATTACCATTGGTTTGAGGCAATACCCACTCTTTGATGACCTATGTATTTTCAAATGAGTGCTATAATTCCATTCACCAGATTTCCTACTATTCCCATTTCGAAACCAGTTTATGTCGAAATATTATTCATGTTCATCTTTCAGGCGATGATAAACTGACCGTAACAGATTCAGTTCAAATATTATTCATGTTCATCTTTCAGGGATGATAAACTGACTGCAACAGATTCAGTTCAAATATTATTCATGTTCATCTTTCAGGCGATGATAAACTGACCGCGAATAACAGATTCAGTTTAAATATTATTCATGTTCATCTTTCAGGTGATGATAAACTGACCGTACCAGATTCAGTTAAAACTGGATAGAGAATGGAATGCCAGCCAACAAGATTGCGTTGGGAATGGGCCTCTATGGACGGGCGTTCAAACTAGTCTCAGCATCTAATCACGACATTGGTTCCGAAGCAGATGGAGTTCCCGTTAAAGGTCCGTATACAAAGAAGCAGGCTTTTGGCCTACTACGAGATTTGCTCTGACAAATCTTTGACGACCGTCGAAGAAAGCTCGGCTGGTGCATCGTACGCATACGCTGATGATGTATGGATAGGTTACGACACACCGAATAGTCTGCAAAGTAAAGTCGACTTAATCAAACAAGAAGGTAAGCATTTCACATAAACGAAAATCATTAAACCAAAACACACATCAGATGATTTCTACACAAGACAGTACCTGAAGATAATCTCGTAAGTTTGTCGTAAGGCTATATGGTCAACACCATATGCACAATTATTTTGAACATCTGACTCCAACATGAACAGTAGAGAGACTTAATTAGAGATTTTAATGAGATGTAAATTATGGCAAAATAAATCCGAGATTTCGTTAGGTCTTCGAGGCGCGATGTTCTGGTCCCTCGATTTGGATGATTTCACAGGAAAATGTGGCGAGAAGAACCCATTGCTCACAAAGGTGACGAAGGAATTAGAAGGAGGGGTGTTTGTAGATTCTGAAGAGAAACCTACAGAGATGACTACAGACACGCCACCAAATGAAACATCAACTCCGAGTGAGGCAGTTGATACGACGCCTGTTGCCATATCACCCGAGGGGTCAAAAATAAAACCCGGATCGTGTAAAGCGGTGGGGGAGTGGGCAGGTGATGACGGAATGGATGAATGGTGCAACAATAACTGCATCAGAGGATATTGTCCTAAAACTCGTTGTGTTTGTGAGTATGTCGATGGATTAAACACCATAAAAAACTTTCATCGTAAAGTTATCAATGCCGGATCAATTCAGAGTGAAGATGGATATAATGGAATCGCTCAAAATGACGTGTCCAATGACCAGTTGCACAACCTACAAAAGGAGAGTCAACGAGCGAAATTCAGAGAACACGAAGGTCGTAGATTGAATAATGATGAACAAGATATATACGATGCTGAACACGTGGTTTTAAACAAGGATAATAAATTAGATGGTCATGGATTGAACGAGGCAAAAGAGGATATATACGATGCTTAACACGTGGTTTTAAAGAAGGGTAGTAAATTGCATGTTTGTAAATGTAGATCGTTCAGGTTGGTATATCTCAGATGACTACCGCTGACAGTAATAAAAAAGATGGCAGACTATTAGACTATTAATTACAGGTAATAAATTAGATCGTCATGGATTGAACAAGGCACAAGAGGATATATATGGTGGAGGCTAAGAACGGAAGTAATACGTTCAATCAAAAAATGAAGGGGAAATGGCGAGAATAAAGTCCTGGTCTTGCGAAGCAGCCCAGCCGGAATTTTTTTCTCGACCTGAATTTTTTCTCACAATAAATTTGTTTTACTGAACTACCATCCGCAAACAGATCGTTTTTCCGAAGAAAAAAGAAACTTGAATATCCAGTTTCCAAAAAGTATTGAGTATAACTCGCATTTTAACTTTTACGGAGCGAAAAAATCTTTTGTCATTTTCATCGATGTTGATAGTGCTTTAAATACTAAATGGTTGTCGTCTCGATACCAATAATGGAATATCCTTAAAGACTTTAATATGTTTTAAAGGAAAACCGCAGCGTAAGAGCAAATCGACTGTGTATGACAAAAATATATAGTAGCTATAAGATGTTTTCATTCTATAGGTAAATTTTTGGAATAAAATTCATACCAACAAATCCTTTAAATTTATTTGAAAACGTAATAATACTTTTGCACTGAGGATAACGTAGAATTGAAATAAATATAGTTAAAAGATTTTCTTCGTGAAGATGAAACTGAGTAGTAAAATGAATCAACTGAGGTCAAACTAAAGATCTACGATCCGAAAAAATACAAATTGTTTATGAACACGCGAGAAACACGAGTGATCACGAATGACGACGACAAATATTTTTTGGCTTTAATTTTTGGCTTCAGATATCATTCCAGTTCTTTAAATACTGAGTTCACTGTGATAAACACGTGTTTCTCAACTTTGGTTTGCTTTCTCTACGGAGATTTTTTTTTGACCAAACTTTTTCCGAAATGGCTTTCCTTAAGAAACTCCGTTTCCGTAGATCATCAGATAAACGTGGCTACTCAGTCGATGGCAGATTTTCGGAACGCTTCTCCAAGCCCGTGACAGTCATGAAGTGTATTACACTGGCAGAACATTTGGAACCTCTTTCATTAAAAGACGAGACTAACAACTTAGGACGTCGTGGTGAAGCCAAGTATTTTTTTTGAAGAAGCTGCTAAAAATTTTGAAAGGAAGCTCAAACGAAGTGAAAAAGACACAGAAAACGAAAACATTCGCGAAAATGTTGGCGATCGAAGTGTCACGTTGGGTTCTGCTGATTTGATCCATTCAAGTACAGACGATGGTTTATTTTCGTCAATTTTGTTGGCTTATAATAATCATTGGAAACTGCGAACGTCTCCCGAAGATTGGTGGTTTGTTATCATCAGAAGCATCGCCATCGCCATTGACAAACATTCAAAAGATGAAAAAATACGGAAGATGTTTGTTAAACACGAAGGTTGGCATGTATAGAAATGTTTTAGATATAGTGTTTATAAATGTACAGTGCTGCTCTTTTCATATGAATATTGAACAGGTTTTGGTCATGTGATTGACATGCTTGTACGATTTTACATTGATAAAGTAATGTTCTAGTTACGCCTCTGGTTTACCAGTAGAAACCATTAATTGAAACTCGACAATTCGTCTGACAAACGAACGTTACATATTTTAATGTTGACAGCAGAGAACGTTGATTCATAGAGCACATTAAAATGGACATACATAGAAATAAAGAATTCCTGAGAATTTAACATCGACTTCTTTTAAACTTTACCATGCAAAAAAGTGTTTTTATACCTGCAACATTTTACCCGCGACCTGCGACTTTTTACCCGCGACAGTTAGACACACTCCAATGAAACACATAGCACCACCTCTTAATGTTCTCCCTGTCCTCACTTTCTTATGTATGTATGACCACTTGTGCAAGGCCCATTTATGGACGCCGTGCATGTGAAACTGAAGATCTTGATAGATCTTCCTGGTCACTCATAGTTGTATGGAATGGGGAGCCCCTAGACAGTTTGAAGATTAAAAATTTGGGCAGTTTTCAATGTTAGTTGGGTGAAAAATACTAGTGAAAGAAATGACATGTCATTTGAACTCTGGTGAGCTTGGGAAATATTTACTGCTCTCCCCCCCCTCCAGAAACTATGGCTCAGATATGCTGTATGTTTTATTGAACTAAAATACATGGAACGCTACCTGAAGCAAATAATTGAAGCGAGATTTTACCCAAGACACGTGAGATTTTACCCCAGACACGTGAGATTTTACCCCAGACATGCGAGATTTTACCCCAGACACGTGCAATTTTACCCCAGACACATGTGTGTATTGTTTCGAGATTCTCTTGAAGAGAAATAATCGATTGACAATACATGCGTGTCTGGGGTAAAATCACGGCTTCAAAAAATTATTGGCGTTTTGTATTACAGGTAGCGTTTCATGTATTTTAGTTCAATGGCCTGTTATGAACAAAAGATTTTTAAACGCACTTTCATTATCTATGAATTTAACAAATTTTAGGCAAGAAAGCATTGAATGTAGAAATGGATTCTTATAATATCTATGATGTAAACTACTCTTCATTTTTTGATGCCATGTCACATAAAATATCAAAGAATGTCAAAGTTCCTGGTTATGTTGATCTGATAACTGCTGATTTCTCATCAAGCACACCAGTGCAAAAGATTGTATCACAAATCGCTTTGATGTCTTCATTACAGGAGTTCTTTAAATACAGGTGGCAACTTTTATGTATTTATTCCTGCTACAGAATTTTCACAGTCCTTGCAAAATATGCATAAGACAAATTGGTCGCAATTTATACAATACCTTATGCGATAATATGAATGATGAAACAGTTTCATTTTATTGTTTTATAGCATGGGTATGAGGTGTGGAATTCCAGCTGTTGAAATGCTTGGCACTGAGGAAGATTGGAGGAAACTTATTGAAAAACTAGATGCACTCAAAATCTTCTTAAACCGATTGAGCATCTGTTGTATTTACCACCAGATTGGTGGAAACTGGCAGAAAATGTATTTCAAAACTGCTTGCAACTTACTGTGGTGAACCTGATTGCGAGTGGTGGTCAACAATTGTCACCAGAGAACAATTTGGTTCAGGAGATCTGTGCTACACAGGATGGATCAAAAAGTTGAGTAATTTTGAAAGTGGACTTGTCACGGCACCGCTAACTCTTTCACATCCCTCAGGTTTAGCTGATAAGGCTGCGTTAGTTGCTGGATGTCTGGGTTATAAGCTTCACGAGAATGATGACAACATACCATCTGTACAGCCTTATCAAGGATGGTGTCTTATGTTGCCAAAGAATTCACCATTTCGAGTCGAACACCAATGATTGAGCGATTTTAAACAATCTTGCTACGTTTTGAGACAAAATAAATAATCACTACTCTCTACTTAATATAGACAGCAAAATGTATGAAAAAAAACTGATGTTATTTAGTCGTTCTACCTACGTAAAATATGAAGAAATAAATTATTTTTGAAAATGAACAGGTCGAAGGAGCATGGGGGGGGGGGAGTGGTCAACCACACACACTCCCAGGTTAAACGATTTGTTCACTACTCCCAAACTGAAGAAAATTTCCGTTGTATATTTAAACAACAATGGTTAGAGGAGCCTGTTATTTCAGGTGATTGCCTCTACAGAAGCTAGAAGCAAAAAGACCAATAAAAATTTGCTGGCGTCACTGAAAGCCTGAGACGTTGAGGTTGCTCCACAATCGAGAGGAACGTGGATCTTGGAGAACAGTACGCCTCTGGTAGTTAGTTCATAAACGTAATTTTAGAACAGAACAAAGTGAGAATTGCCGAACTAAAATAGAACCCTCTTGGTGCCAGTGAAATTTACCTGACAGTTTTGACACGTCAACTCTTCATACTCTTTCTTTGTAATTTTTGTGTAGGAAATGAAATAGAATTCAATTCAGTCTGAACACAGTTTCGAATAAAAGCGAAACAGTGCTGTTTTAATGGTATCTTGGTGATGACATAAATGAAAAATCAGAGTATACAAGAAGTATTTTTTCGGATTATGTTTCGTTTTCAGAACCTGCAAATTCACACGGTTTATCGCACTGCCTAAGTGTTCACACAGTTTCTGCTTTCTACGAAACTTTCTCGATCAAGTCAATGTTCATGACGACAAAGTTTAGGAAATGGGAACATCCTCGTCATATCTTTGCTCACTAATATTTCCCAACACTGCCTCAAATAATAAGGTCTCTTGCTTCTATATTGAATTTAGATCAAAAGCTATCTGCTTTCCACTGTCTTATCAAGTTTTCCTCTAAAATCTTCAGTTTTGTTGAGAGAAAAATTGCGATCTTATTATTTTATATTAATGAAACTGTCGTCTTGTCAAGGTTCGTGAACCAAACTCCTAAATACGGACATCGCAACACGTCTATTGTCATGACAGTAACCAACTTTTTTTAAACAGCTTTTCCCTACAGGTTTTTCAAACAAAACTGTCTAGAAAACAAGTTGCTGTATTCAAACTAGGATCGATTTGAACAAAACACCAGAAATACAAAACAAACAATCTTTCTATAAACGAATAACTTGCAGAGAAAAAGTCATTCTTTACTGATCACAGAAGCTCAGAAAAGCAGTGCCATACAAGATTGAAAGAAGATAGTTCAAGAAGGCAGAAGAAATTCGAGTATGTTCATCGATATCTGTGAAATCTGTAACACCTATAGACCGTTGTAATTTTTCATTTTCAATAGATTGTGCGGGAGCAATCTTTGACCAAAAATGACCTTTCTCTTTGTTTTGATGATTACCCTGTCAGCATCTTTGGCAAGCGCTGAGAAAATTGTTAGAGTGTGTTACTACACAAACTGGGCACAGTATCGAACAAGTCCAATGGAATACTTTCCAGAAAATGTAGATGTTTCATTATGTACCCATATTATTTATGCTTTTGCAAAGATTGAAAACCACGAATTGAAAAGTATTGAATGGAACGACGATAAAATGTTTAAGAAATTCAGAGAAATTCAACAGGTGAGTTATAGTACACTAAAGGATGGCATGTGGGTAATGAACGAGGTTAGAGAAACAATGTCTTCTCTAAATCTAATTACTAGAATTCAAGGATAAACCAGCGACTGTCGCTGAAGCCATATTCACTTAAATATTTAACCTTCCTTTTAAACGAAACAGGCTTCAATATATAGTTTGGCTATGAAATCTAGTCTTGTGAACTAAACCCAAAATCAGAACGAGTTTCAAGAAGAAAGATTGGTCACTTGTGGACTAAAAGACCCGCAAAATATCTAGAACTATTTGCAACGATCCACCTGACAACTGTGACAAACAGTGTTAACTACCAGTTTTCAATTGTGTTCTTTGCTTTAGGGCAGACGGGGCACGAAAATCAAAAGCCGCAGATATGATTTGCCCTTCGCAAATTTTCGCATCAACACTAAATCATGCTAGTTGTTTTATATTTGTAGGCCTATCCATCACTTAAGTTATTGTTGGCAGTTGGAGGCTGGAACCACGAGGCAGGTGCCATAAGCAAATTTTCCAACATGGTAAGTACACCAGAAACAAGACTGATATTTATCGAGTCTGCAATTAAATTCCTTCGACGAATTGGCTTCGATGGTCTTGACTTGGATTGGGAATACCCAGCGCATAGAGGTAATTCTCCGCCTGAAGATAGAGAGAGGTTCAGCTTACTTGTCGAAGAGCTCGTGGAAGCGTTCGCACAGGAATCGGAACTCTCCGGAAACGACCGACTATACCTTACAGCTGCAGTGGCAGCCGCCCCTGAAAAAAGTTACCAAGGCATACGAAGTGGCACGAATCAGCAAGAGCTTGGATTGGATCAATCTGATGACGTATGATTTGCATGGTAGTTGGGAGAAAATTACTGGACACCACACAGCAATGACAGGTATTGGAACATAATTCTAAGTTCTCATCATATTTTTAAAATGAATTACCATTGGTTTGAGGCAAATAAATACCCACTCTTTGATGACCTATGTATTTTCAAATGAGTGCTATAATTCCATTCACCAGATTTCCTACTATTCCCATTTCGGAAACCAGTTTATGTCGAAATATTATTCATGTTCATCTTTCAGGCGATGATAAACTGACCGTAACAGATTCAGTTTAAATATTATTCATGTTCATCTTTCAGGTGATGATAAACTGACCGTACCAGATTCAGTTAAAAACTGGATAGAGAATGGAATGCCAGCCAACAAGATTGCGTTGGGAATGGGCCTCTATGGACGGGCGTTCAAACTAGTCTCAGCATCTAATCACGACATTGGTTCCGAAGCAGATGGAGTTCCCGTTAAAGGTCCGTATACAAAAGAAGCAGGCTTTTTGGCTTACTACGAGATTTGCTCTGACAAATCTTTGACGACCGTCGAAGAGCTCGGCTGGTGCATCGTACGCATACGCTGATGATGTATGGATTGGTTACGACACACCGAATAGTCTGCAAAGTAAAGTCGACTTAATCAAACAAGAAGGTAAGCATTTCACATAAACGAAAATCATTAAAACCAAAACCACACATCAGATGATTTCTACAGAAGACAGTACCTGAAGATAATCTCGTAAGTTTGTCGTAAGGCTATATGTAAGGTCAACACCATATGCACAATTATTTTGAACATTCGACTCCAACATGAACAGTAGAGAGACTTAATTAGAGATTTTAATGAGATGTAAATTATGGCAAAATAAATCCGAGATTTCGTTAGGTCTTCGAGGCGCGATGTTCTGGTCCCTCGATTTGGATGATTTCACAGGAAAATGTGGAGAGAAGAACCCATTGCTCACAAAGGTGACGAAGGAATTAGAAGGAGGGGTGTATGTAGATTCTGAAGAGAAACCTACAGAGATGACTACTGACACGCCACCTAATGAAACATCAACTCCGAGTGAGGCAGTTGATACGACGCCTGTTGCCATATCACCCGAGGGGTCAAAAATAAAACCCGGATCGTGTAAAGCGGTGGGGGAGTGGGCAGGTGATGACGGAATGGATGAATGGTGCAACAATAACTGCATCAGAGGATATTGTCCTAAAACTCGTTGTGTTTGTGAGTATGTCGATGGATTAAACACCATAAAAAACTTTCATCGTAAAGTTATCAATGCCGGATCAATTCAGAGTGAAGATGGATACAATGGAATCGCTCAAAATGACGTGTCCAATGACCAGTTGCACAACCTACAAAAGGAGAGTCAACGAGCGAAATTCAGAGAACACGAAGGTCGTAGATTGAATAATGATGAACAAGATATATACGATGCTGAACACGTGGTTTTAAACAAGGATAATAAATTAGATGGTCATGGATTGAACGAGGCACAAGAGGATATATACGATGCTTAACACGTGGTTTTAAAGAAGGGTAGTAAATTACATGTTTGTAAATGTAGATCGTCCAGGTTGGTATATCTTCAGATGACTACCGCTGACAGGTAATAAAAAGATGGCAGACTATTAATTACAGGTAATAAATTAGATGGTCATGGATTGAACAAGGCACAAGAGGATATATACGGTGGTGAGGCTAAGAACGGAAGTAATACGTTCAATCAAAAAATGAAGGGGAAATGGCGAGAGAAAAGTCCTGGGTCTTGCGAAGCAGCCCAGCCGGAATTTTTCTCGACCGGGAATTTTTTCACAATAAATTTGCTTTACTGAACTACCATCCGCAAACAGATCGTTTTTCCGAAGAAAAAGAAACTTGAATATCCAGTTTCATAAAAGTATTGAGTATAACTCGCATTTTAACTTTTACGGAGCGAAAAATTTTGTCATTTTCATCGATGTTGATAGTGCTTTAAATACTAAATGGTTGTCGTCTCGATACCAATAATCGAATATCCTTAAAGACTTTAATATGTTTTAAAGGAAAACCGCAGCTTAAAAGCAAATCGACTGTGTATGACAAAATATATAGTAGCTATAAGATGTTTTCATTCTATTTGTAAATTTTTCCAATAAAACTCATACCAACAAATCCTTTAAATTTATTTGAAAACGTAATAATACTTTTGCACTGAGGATAACGTAGAATTGAAATAAATATAGTTAAAAGATTTTCTTCGTGAAGATGAAACTGAGTAGTAAAATGAATCAACTGAGGTCAAACTAAAGATCTACGATCCGAAAAAATACAAATTGTTTATGAACACGCAAGAAACACGAGTGATCACGAATGACGACGACAAATATTTTTGGCTTTAATTTTGGCTTCAGATATCATTCCAGTTATTTAGAGCTCAGTATTTAAATATCATTCCAGTTATTTAAATACTGAGCTCACTGTGATAAACACGTGTTTCTCAATTTTGGTTTGCTTTCTCAACGGAGATTTTTTCTTGACCAAATTTTTTCCGAAATGGCTTTCCTTAAGAAACTCCGTTTCCGTAGATCATCAGATAAACGTGGCTACTCAGTCGATGGCAGATTTTC